ACATATGAGTTTATTTGCTTTGGAAGTCAAGAAACTCAAGACGGACTTGTATTCACATAAGTCGCAAGAGTAATTTTTTTACTTCCTGTAGCAAAGATTAACACTTTATTTATTTAAATAAATACCATTTAAAAAAATTATATTCTATAGATACCTTTTAAGGTTTATAGCAAAATATTTAATTTTGGTTACCTCCTGACCCTAAGCCACTAAATACGCTAATCAGTTACACTATTTTCTTTCTCTCTCTACTTTGATACATCTCATTCTCTTCTCCCATCCCATTAAAATTTCGGTCTCCTCCTCCATCCACCGGATTTGTGCAAAGCCCACTTCAGAGATGCTGATTTCGACCATGAAATTTCAGGGGATCTCAGGCTTCCCTTGAGTTTTTATATATAAAGAATTGCCCTCTGCTCGATTTGTCGAACGAAGACGACCTTCTTCGTATAGTAGATTGTGAGTCCAAATTGTTCTTCATCCAAATCTGCGATCCAAGATTGCTATGCTAAACTTACACGACAAAATGAATATTGAAGCTTAATTTCCTTGTCATTAACATTTGATTGCTGGAGCATTGATGCCGCAATTTGTTCTTAGGCCCAGACAAGAGCAACTTGGGCTTTTCCTTGGCCACCATTGCTCGACAGCGGATTCGTCGGAAATTAGGGTTTGTTCTTGAAAAAAGACGACGGAGTTTGGGGCTGAACAACTTGATTTCTGTTAATATATTTCAATGTATTTCATTGTATTCATTGTCTTTTTTTTCATTGTAATTCAATGTATCTCGTTGTATTCCATGTATTTCTTTGTATTTACTGTCTCGCTATTTGCCAGGAATGTCATCATATATTTTTTTTAATTAATATAATTTATGTATTCAGATGTATTATATAATTTCTGTGAAGATTGCTATATTTTTGGGGTATTTTTCGGTTGAGAATCTTTTTTATAACTGAAAATAAAATTTTTGTGTGTTATAATTGAGTTTGTTGAGTTATATTAGGAGTCTAATATGTTAATTGACTCACTTTCCGTTTTAAAACAGTGTAATCCCCTATTTTACGCCGTGAATACAGTGGAATACAGTCGAATACAATAATATGTCCAGCTATAATCCCATGTTTCACTCCATGAATACAGTCGAATACACTCAAATACAACAACTGATTAGCTGGACTTCCCTGATTCACGCCTATTTTTGCTACTGTATTCACAATAACTTAAATACATCAAATACATCTTATAACCACAGAAAAGATATCTATAATCCGTAATATAGCAAAAAGTATCTATAAATGACTAATTACTACTAAAAGAAAGTTCTTTATGAAAATTTTCCTTTCTTGTACGTATGACCTTTACATTTTTTGTTAGAACCCGACTTGAAAAGTCAAAGTTGAGTGTTGCAAAGCCTGCACAATTCTAAAAGATCATATCTTTAATACGAACAATACCATAAATACGATAATTCATGGAGAAATATCTTGAAGAAAACAAATAATAGTAGTTTTTATATGAACCCATAATTTGACAATAAGAATGCGTTCAATATTAATAACTTTGAAAATTGAGTCCATAGAATTTATATTCCAGATCTGCCTATATCAAAATGAACAATTGATGTGAATTCACAAGTATCAAGAACACCGTAATATTGTTCTAGGGGCATAAAACTCTATAGTTTTGTCATTCAATTTCTCTCAAAGGTTTTTTTTTAATTCAAATTAGAGATAATCATTAACAGATTGGTTCAACTAGTACACATCTGATACGAATTTCTTTCTTACAACCATTAAAAAAATTCTTACTAATTTTTAGTTTGTGACAATTATAATTTGAGAAAAAATATAACAATCAAATTTAACCATATACGTTCACCCAAACTGCAACAGCATTAAGTCCAATATAAAAACATAGAGGCGTCATATAGTTCAAAGTTAATTCCCCAAGCTGCCAAGCATGAAACAAAAACTTCACATAAAGCACCATTAAATTATAAAAAGACAACATGATACCAAATTATTGGTATCTAGTTGACAATTAGACAGAGAATTCAGCAAAGAAGGAGTAGAAATTGGAAGAAGAAGCAGCAGAGAAGAATAAGAGAAGATAGAGAATTAGAGAAGTGGGAGAGAATTTTCGGATTTTCATTGATATTCAAAAGTAACTAATGAATTATTACAACTAGCTATTTATAGTGCTCAATGATCTACTGAAAATGTAAAAGCAAGGCCAAGATAAATGAGCTAAAGCATCTAAGCAACTAACTACCTTTCCTGCCATTACCTAATTTTCAAATTTGAAATCTAACTAACATGACTAACTTTCAAATGCACTATTCTTCATGGACTCTTGCTGAACTTTGTGTATCAATACCCCCCTGTGGAAGAACACCCTTGTCCTCAAGGGTGAAAGAAGGGAACCTGGTCCGAAGAAAAGAAGCAAATTCCCAAGTAGCAGCCTCAACTTCCAAACCTTGCCACTTAATCAAGCATTGGGCCACAACCTTATTACCCTTTTTGACCAACCTACGAGCAAGTATAGCTTCAGGGGTAGGACATAAAGGGCTAGAAAGATCGAGGACAGGAGGATGGATAATTGCAGTAGGCAAGACAGGGCAGAATTTGAGTTGGGAAATATGGAAGGTGGGGTGAATTTGGACCTCAGGTGGGAGCAGCAATTTGTAGGCAACAACTCCAACTCGTTCAACAATAGGGTAAGGGCAAAAATAGCGAGAGGTAAGCTTATGATATGGAGAGAGGGAAAGGGTGGATTGCCTATAGGGCTGCAACTTCACGAAGACCCAATCACCAACTGAAAACTGCCTGTCAGTGCGATGAGCATTGGCTTGATCTTGCATACGCTGCTGAGCACGTGTCAAATGATACTTAGCAAGCTACATTTTAAAGTCGCGGAGAAACAGAATGTTTTCAATATCAGTAGAAGGAGAGTCACCATGAAGATAAGGGAGGTGAAGAGGGGGAGGATAACAATAAAGGAGCTCAAAAGGTGAAGTCTGAATGGCAGAGTGGTGTGAGGAGTTATACCACCATTCAGCCAAGGGCAAGAAGGCACACCAATCAGCTGGTGAATCAGAACAGAAACAATGAAGATAAGTCTCAAAACACCTATTGAGAACCTCAGTTTGGCCATCAGTTTGCGGATGGTAAGCTGTAGAAGTGCGCAAATGTACACCTTGAGCAGAAAGGAACTCCTTCCAAAAAGAGCTAATAAAAATAGGATCACGATCACTGGTGATGGTAGCAGGAAACCCATGTAGTTTGAAGATGTGGTCTAGAAAAATAGGCACAAGGGACTGGGCAGTATAGGGGTGAGCTAAGGCAATAAAATGACCATACTTAGTCAATCTATCAACTATGACCCAAATAACATACTTCCCCTTTGATTTGGGTAATCCTTCAATGAAATCCATGTTGATATCTGTCCAAGGAACTGCAGGAAAAGGAAGGGGTTGCAACAATCCAACAGAAGCAGATGTGCCATACTTATTTCTTTGACAGACAGAACAATTGCGCACAAAATTAAGAACATCAGTTCTGATGCCTTTCCAATAAAAATAGGCCATCAATTTCCTAGTAGTTGCATCAGTACCAGAGTGTCCACCAGATGGAGAAGAATGCCATAGCTGCAGAAGCTTAGTCCTGAGCCCCAGGTCATTTCCAACCATCAGTTTACCCTTTCTCCTGAGTTGATTGTTTATCCAAGTAAAGTGTTTTTGGGGTGAAGTCTGTAAAGAAGTAATGAGTTGGCTCAGCTCAGGATCTTGAAACCAACTGTTATGAATTTCACTCCAAAGATCAGCCTGAACAGTAGAAACCATGAGGGACATCAACTAAGCACCTGACACACTTGACAAGGAATCAGCAGCCACATTCTCCTTGCCCTTCTTGTACTGAATTTCAAAGTCAAAGGGTAGTAACTTAGCCAACCACCTAATCTGCAAATCAGTGTGTAAATTCTGTTCTAATAAGTACTTGAGAGCCTTCTGATCAATTCTCACAATGAAGTGATGGCCCAAAATATAATGAGACCATTTAGTAACTGCAAACACTAGAGCCAACAACTCCTTCTCATACACAGATAAAGCCATGTGCCTAGGAGCTAACCCTTTGCTAATGAAGGCTATAGGATGATCATTTTGCATAAGAACAACACCAATGCCAGTGCCACTAGCATATGTCTCAACTACAAATGGAATAGCATAGTTGGGCAATGCCAACACAGGAGCAGAAGTGAGAGCCAATTTTAATGTTGCAAATGACTCTGCAGCTTTGGCATTCCACAAAAAACTATCCTTCCTCAGTGAGTGGCCTACTAATAATACCATAACCCTTGATGAATTTCCTGTAATACCCTGCCAGACCCAAGAAGCCCCTCAACTGTTTAACAGTCTTGGGAATTGGACATTGCTGGACTGCTTCAATTTTCCTAGGATCAGTAGAAACTCCCTCAGCAGTGATAAAATGTCCTAAGTATTCCACCCTTGAAACACCAAATGCACACTTAGATTTCTTGGCCAAGAGGTTGTGAGTGACCATAGTGTCAAATACCTGCTTCAAATGTCCCATATGATCTTGCAAATTAACACAATAGATCAAAATGTCATCAAAAAACACTAGAACAAATTTACTGAGAAACTTCTGAAACAAGTGATTCATGAGGCATTGGAATGTAGAGGGAGCATTAGTTAAACCAAAGGGCATTACTAAATACTCATAGTGTCCAGAATGTGTCTTGAAAGCAGTCTTAGAAACATCCTCAGGTAGCATCCTGATTTGATCATAACCAGATCTGAGATCAATTTTAGTAAAAATTGTGGCCCCAGCTAACTCATCTAGCATATCATCTATAAGGGGTATGGGGAATTTATCTTTGATTGTGCACTGGTTCAATTCCCTGTAGTCTACACATAATCTCCAGGATCCATCCTTCTTGCCAACAAGAACCACAGGAGAGGAAAAAGGACTGTTGCTATACTAGATGGCCCCTTGTTGCAACATTTCATTAACCAACTGTTCAATGATATCCTTTTTAATAGAAGAGTACCTGTATGGTCTAACATTTACAGGTTTTGAGCCAGGTTGAAGAGGTATTCTATGATCAAAAGCTCCCCTTTGTGGAGGTAGGGATGTAGGTTCAGCAAAGACCAAATGGTATTGATGCAGCAGCTGATCAATAATGGCAGTACTATCAGCAGTAGTCATATGCAGGGCTTGACAGTGCATAGTGGTAAGTGAGCTTGGGTTACTATCTCTCACTTGCAGCATGAAGAACTGTATATCATTCCCCTTTAGCCAATTCAATGACTTTGGGCTGGAGACCTTACAATCCTCAGACACTCCCCTCAGTAAATTAGACTTCCCTTGATAATTGAAGGCCATAGTAAGCTCTGAGTAATCCATAGTAATGGGACCAAGTGTTTTCATCCATAAAGCTCCCAAGACCAGGTCATATTTACCAACTGGAATACAAGTAAGTTCAGAAGAGAATGTTGTACCCTGCAGAATCCATTCAAAACCCCTAACCACTCCAGAGGTGGCTTCTAAAGTGTTGTTGCCAAGGCTTACATAACTCACCTTAGTAGGACATATTTGACACCCGAACCTCTTGGAAGCCCTCTCATCAATAAAGTTATGAGTACTACCCGCATCAAGTAAAATTTGAATTGGCCTCTTCTCACTATATCCAGTAACATGAATGGTTTGAGCTCCTTGTAAACCACTTAAAGCACATAAGTATATCATAGGGGTATCACCTGCTCCAGCTGCCCATTCTTCCTTAGAAGGACTCTCCTCAGCTCGTTGCGTCCTAGCCTCATCACCCCCATCTTCTACAATTTCTAACTCCATCACAAACAACTGCTTAGGCAGGTTGCATTTGTGACCTACAGTGTACTTATCATCACAAAAGTAGCAAAGACCCTGTGCCCTTCTAGCCTGCATTTCTGCAGGAGAAATAGTCCTCCTGTTTCTGGCCACATTCACAGTGGTTGAGGGAGGGAGAGCTAGTCGAGGAGTTGAGGGATTAGAACTAGGGTTATGTTTGATGGTAAGTGGCTCATAGGAAGGCTTTTTGAGGTGAGTTGTAGATACAGAAGTAGTGTGACTCCTTAAGGCTCTAGCATTAGCTGCTAAGGTTGCTTCAGCTAATCTAGCTAAACGATAAGTTTTGGATAGAGTCTGAGGCTCATGCATTTTGACAGGGTTCACCAACTCTCCCTTCAATTTTCCTAGGAAACAGGATATAGCTTGACTAACTGTTAGATCACACTGAACTAATAACCTAGCAAAAGCAAATTGAAACTCCTTCACTGAACCAGTCTGTTTGAGCTGCTTCAGTTCGAGCATAGGATCAGTATATTCCTCACTAAATGTTTCAATCAAAGCCTCAATATACTCATTCCATGGGGGAAGGGTAGGCAAATCTCTGTATTTCAAATAGGACTGATGCCAGGCTAGAGCATCATCATCTAAATGCATAGATACTACATGTACCTTTTGATTTGCAGCAGTATTGTCAACAACAAAATATTGATCAATTTTATACAGCCAGCTTTTCAAATTTTCACCATTGAATCTAGGGAATAACAAATTATGACTACGATTGTTAGGAACATGATACGGATTAGGTCCTAAAATTCCCTGACCTGACTGCACATTATCGCGGTTCTTAGAAGTGAAGCTATTGTCTCGTGACTGCTGATGCAGCTGCATTCCATCAATTGAATTTTTGAGTGCTTCAACCACCTGTAGCAATTTAGCATGTCGATGATCCAAATCAGCTCGCAATTCATCTGTTTTCTGATCGAGAATTAAACGCAGATCTAGCTGCTGTGCAGCTAAGTCTTCATATTGTTCCTGCCAGTCCAGATTTGCAGGATCAACAACTTTACGGGGTCTCATGGTTTGGCTATGATACCAATTGATACCAAATTATTGGTATCTAGTTGACAATTAGACAGAGAATTCAGCTAAGAAGGAGTAGAAATTGGAAGAAGAAGCAGCAGAGAAGAATAAGAGAAAATAGAGAATTAGAGAATTAGAGAAGTGGGAGAGAATTTTCGGATTTTCATTGATATTCAAAAGTAACTAATGAATTATTACAACTAGCTATTTATAGTGCTCAGTGATCTACTGGAAATGTAAAAGCAAGGCCAAGAGAAATGAGCTAAAGCATCTAAGCAACTAACTACCTTTCCCGCCATTAACTAATTTTCAAATTTGAAATCTAACTAACATAACTAACTTTCAAATGGACTATTCTTCATGGACTCTTGCTGAACTTTGTGTATCACAACAACAACAACAACTACCAGTAAAACCCCACAAAGTGGGGTCTGGGGAGGGTAATGTGTACGCAGACCTTACTTACCCCTACCCCGATAGGGCAGAGAGGTTGTTTCTCAAATTATAGAAAGAATAAAGTCAAAAATTAGACATACAAAACAAAATTTCAAAATGTTAGAAGCGTCAAATATCACATCTGCTAAAACTTCTTATGGCTTTTACTCTTCTTATTAGAGTTCGCCGGATAAATATATGTATTTCCTTAAAGAACACTTTCTTTCTCTTTTTTTTTTGGTAATAAATGATTTATTCAAACAACAGCAACTAAAAGTTTTTACAACTAGAGCGCAGTCTAGGTAACATAGTGCCTAGACTGTCTCTTTTTAGTACATGGATAACAAAGACAGGCGGAACAGCAAAAGTTTGCAAAGTACAAAAGTGTCCAGGCTGCAATCATTCTTAGCTAACAGGTCCGCTACTCCGTTAGCCTCTCTAAAGACGTGCTTCAGCTGTGGATCATTCGCCTTCCGTAATAGGTACCTGCAGTCATCAATCAAATTTTGGTAGAGACAGTTATTAGATTTTAGGAGGTTAAATAGTTCCAAACAGTCCATCTCTATTACTAGTGGGAAGAGTTTTTTTTGTTAGTGCTAGTTTGACTCCATGGAGGAGGGCTAGGATTTCCATATATATGTTAGTAGCATGGTCGAATCCCATATTGAATCCTAAAATCCATCGACCCCTTTCGTCTCTAAACACCCCTCCTATTCCTCCCACTCCCGGGTTTCCTACACAAGAGCCATCGATATTCAGTTTATAAAAGTTGGGTTGGGTGGTTCCCATTTTACAAAGATAGTTTTCTTGGTTGGTTTTAAGCAACTATTTTTTGCCATGTAGAGGAATTCCATGGCTTTACTGATGGGTTGATTTTTGGTGATGGGTGTTTTAATTCCTCTAAAGAGGATCCCATTTCTGAAGTTCCATATATGCCATAGGAGAAATGGGAGAAAATCTACCCAGCGTAAGTAATTATTAAAAGGGACCCTGGACAAGAATTGATTTTTAAGCCATTTATTAAGGGTATCTTTTCCTACGGGGATCTGAGAGAACGGGTGTTTTGTATTGATTTGATCCCAGATTTGTCTAGAGTAATTGCAACAGAAGAATATATGTTCTATGTCCTCAGTTTCCCTGTTACAAATGTTACAAGAGTCTTCTTGGCAAATCCCTCTTTTTTTTAGCATATCTTTAGTGGGTAGCCTATCCCAAAAGATTATCCACAGAAAATATTTTAATTTGTTTAAGGAGTTGATTTTCCAGAGCTAGGCTAAGTTTTTCTCGTTGCCTATGGGTTCTGAGACAGCTTCATAAGCAGCTTTAACAGAGAAATAGTTGTGATCCTTAGAGTTCCAAGTGTATGAGTCCGTAGTGGTTCCGATTTGTTTTATGCAGGTGCAGTTTATCTTAGAAACAATGTCCAGGGGAAGTTCAAAGGATAAGTTTCTAAGGTCGAACATTCCATTTTTAATAAAGCAGGAGAGATTTTGGTCAAGCTCTCCAGCTGGGATGGGGCCTTGGATGGAATCTCTAAGCGTTCCTAATTGATTTATCCATATATCATGCCATAGATTAATGGCCGTTCCATCACCTACTAGCCATTTGGTGTTGACGTTGCATATTTCAGCACCCTTTTTAATTACTTTCCAAGTGTGGATACTCACAAATTTCAAAGTTAATTCCCGGAAGCATTGGAACAAAAACTTCATAGAAAGTACCATCAAATTATTAAGAAAATACAGACAAGAAAATAGACATACAAAGCAAAATTTCTAAATGATGTAAGCGTCAAATATCACAATCCAACTAGATATGAGAATCAAACCTTCCAGAATCAAAGTCGATAAAGCAAGACAATAGATAAATTGATACGTTGTAGTGGGTAAACTTTAGCCGCTAACTCATATTACGTTAATTATTAGGTTTTTATAGATGTACTTATCTAACCTAAGTGTGTATTTATCTAGAGTTAAAAGGCAAACTTTAATTAATTTTAAACTGCTAATCTTAGGAAAATAGTTAATAACTGTTTTGTCTAGTGTAAAATCTATTTAAAAGGGATAACAAAGGCAAACCATATTTCGCAGGTTAATACCCAATACCATAATGATTACCAATATATATATATATAAAGTTGGGAATAGTAAAGTTGATGTGGCACTCTTACATGCCAAGAATCTCCTTTATCTTTTTTCTCATTTTTTTGGGTTTTTTCCTTTATTTGATATCTAAAAAATCTACAGAAAATTGAATATATCATATTTATGTCATTCATTATTATTGTCATTTACTTTCTTTCACACCCACACTGTCCCTTCTTTATTAAGGTCTTCTCTACTTGTAATGGGTACAGTCAATATCTCTTCTTTTCATATACCCACGTTCCCTTTCCCATAAATCTCATTACTTCGATCACTGGTAACGTAAGTATAATTACAGGCCTGCAGCTTGCGAAAAATCTATAAATATTACTCAAGCACATATCCTCTTCACTTCAAAACCAAAAAAGAAAGTTCGATCTCACACAATGGATTAGCGACGAAGATAGAAAGAAGAGTCTCGTGCAAAAAGTTCGTTACCATTTCGTAGAAGCTTGCCTTGACGTTAATTGATGAATATGAAAAAGAAAAGGTTTGGCTAGGAAGTTGGAGATGAGTTTGATAGAGTGGAGGAGAAGACTTGTTTAAGATTGCAAGGGCATTTAACCGAAGAGTTTATGGAAGTTTAATTCTCCTCTCTTTCTTTTTCTTTTTCTTTTTAAACTCCATTCCTTAATACTATTTGTGATGAATTTATAGGAGGGTTATGGATGTATTGGGATGGTTAAAAAATATGAAAAAAAGATAGAACTGCGAGAATTTTGCAGATAATTTAGAAGAAAAAAGAGTATGTTGCTGATTTTAGACGACAATCAGGAGAATCAATAAAAGAGAATATTAACAAAAGGTAAGTTATAAATAATAAGAGGTGGCAATTTGCAAAAGTTATGAAGGAGGTGATGTGTGATTTGGAAACAAAAGAAGGGAATGAATATAATAAAACGGAAAAAAAAAGAAATAAGGAAAGGGAGAAAAAATAAGGAAGGAGAGAAAATTAGTATTACAAAATGTCAGAATCTTCCCATCTTGATTCCTGAAAGTACAAGAGGGGGGGTGAATTGTAAATACTTCGAATTAATTGCTTATAAGTTGACTTATAACTAGAGTAGTTGGCTGAATATGATAATTTAGCAGATATAGTAACGAAAAGTAAAATGCAGAAAGTAATTGCAGGAATTAAAAACACCGGAATTTTTATACTGGTTCGGATTCAATATGAATCCTAATCCAGTCCCCTTGGGTTGCAAGGGAGTTCTCTTCAGTAAATGAGTTTCTTCCGAGTACAGATGTGGTGTATATCGTTCAGTTTCTCTAGCACTCGTTTTGATACAATGCCTCACCAGTTGTGTGCTCTCTTTCTATCCCTGACTTGTTACACAGCAGATCTTAGTGAACTACAATGCTTGTTTGCAGTAGAATAAAGAGAGTGATTTGGTTTGATCAAAGTATGTCTGAGCTAGGGTTTACAAGGGAGTATAAATACTTTGATGGATGGTAAAGGCTTGACAACCCAAGAGATTTGANGAATTCTTTCCAAGAATAAGGAATGAGTCGTTGCTTCTCTTGATTACTTTCCTTCTGCAGAGGATTGCTTCACTTGATTTCTCCTTGATTGTTGGATCTTCCAAATGTGGTCGCTTCCCAGATCTCCTCGTATCCTTTAGTCTTCCGTGATTCTGCCCATGATTCGTGCCTTTGTCCAAGGCTTATTTGATTTTCTCCAGCTTAGCTAATCATTGTTATTGCTGATTGATTCGTTGATTAGATTGCGCCCAGATTTACGAGACCAATCCAGATTTGCTGATCACATGCTGATTGATTTCTTTCTTTCTACATCATGAACCATTCCAGCAGTCTTCTTTACTTCTTGAACTTGATTTCCTGCACATGTATATTATTTGCATCATTAAAAAATGATCTAACAATTTCCCCCTTTTGATGATGGCAAAATAATATAATAAGGTGAAGAAGTAAACACCAGTCGACTTTGTGAGCACGTGATTTTTGCCACGCTTAAATTACTCTTATAAAATTCATAAAATTAGGATTTTTTCTTTTATTATTTAATTTTTAGAATTTAATTGCATGATTTTGTGATTGCTTACATTTTTGTGTGCATTTTTAGTTGACATAACTCATAAAAAATACAAAAATAGCACATTTGCATTTAGAACCCAATTCTATATTTTTAGGTTTACTAGTTAATTAATTCCAAAATATAAAAAAAATAACAAAAATAGTCCATTTTGCATTTTTTAATTGATAATTGTTCATTTGGTCATGAGTTTAGGACTTAATCAATTTTTAGGAATTAATTAGCTTAGTTTCGGAAATAAATTAGGTCTTTATTTTAATTTTTGCATTGTTATAAAAATCAGAAAAATATAAAATACAACAATGAAAACAAAACAAAAAAATGAAAAAGGAACAATTAAAATAAAAGAAAGTGAGTCTTAATAA